ACGGGGTTTCACCATGTTGACCAGGATGGTCTTGATCTCTTGACCTCGTGATCCACCCGCCTCGGCCTCCCAAAGTGCTGGGATTACAAGCGTGAGCCACCGCGCCCGGCCTGATCTCAGTGATTAAAGAATGCAGTAATTACAGTGATTTCAAGAGAAAGATGAAGAAAATCTACATGTTTAATCAAGTTTCAGTCAGCTTATTGAGCAGCCATAGTGAACAGGGTGCTGGCTGTTGGGGACACAGAAGACAAAAACTAGATCCCCTACTGCTTTATGACTAAAGTGTGAATATTTGATAGGAGACAGAATAGAGATTCTTCAAAGAAACAGAAAGTGGCTTTGTAGCAAAATTCATTCAGTATTTAACTGATAAATATCTTCTCATGAAGAATAACTTATTTTGCCAGGCTTAGGCTTGAATCATATGAAAAAGAATCTTGGCTCTTTGGCACTTTCCCATTTCCTTTGAACAGTTATAAAACTAAAAATAGGCTGGGCATGGTGGCTCACACCTGTAATCCCAGCACTTTGGGAGGCTGAGGTGGGCAGGTCACCTGAGGTCAGGAGTTCGAGACTAGCGTGTTCAACATGGTGAAACTCCGTCTCTAAAAATACAAAAATTTGCCAGGTATGTGGTGTGTGCCTGTAATCCCAGCTACCTGGGATTAGAAGATCTATAATAAAAGATCTCTAATCACTCGGGAGGCTGAAGCAGGAGAATTGGTTGAACCCAGGAGGTGGAGGCTGCAGTGAACCCAGATCGCACCACTGCACTCTAGCTTGGGTGACAGAGCGAGATCCATCTCAAAACAAAACAAAACAAAAAACCCTTAAAGTATAAGTGATTGATTGCAATAAGACATCCATAATGTTAAAACAAGAATTTTTTTATTTCCCAAGGCCTCTGTGGGTAGAGTTCCCCAATGAACTAAAGACTTTTGATATGGAAGATGAATACATGCTGGGTGAGCATTTTTTGATTAATTATAGTCATGATGAAAACTGTAATTATGTTTTTATTATATTTTCTAATATAGGAACACTCAAAAAATCCCTAGAAAGCCAAAAAATAAAAATAAAGGAAACACCTTCACCAAGATTTCTAATGCATTATTAGTAGGATCATACCTCCATTCAGTTATGATATAGCATTTATTATAATATTGTTCTTGCTAACATGAAATAAATCTATCCTATTTGTGGAGTCATTTAGGATTCTTGTTCTGGATTCACTCCTCTAAGCCTGAGATTACTATGGGGAAGGGAAGTAGGTAAAACAGCCCAGGTGGTGATAGTAAAGAACCAGAAGTAATAGTAGAGTTTTTATTTGGTTGACCTCTTCTTTAACAAAGATGAACTATCAAATCCAGAATATGGAAGTTTATCAACTTAGTAATGGAGCTCAAGAAGCCAGGCTAAATGTACCGTTCCCCAAATGGTGAATCTCGTTTCTGAGTATTTTTAGTAGAGATGGGATTTCACCTTGCTGCCCAGGCTGATCTCAAACTCCTGAGCTCAGGGGATCCACCCACCTCATCCTCCCAAATTGCTGGGATTACAGGATTGAGCTACTGTGCCCAGCTCCATTTCTGAGTTCTTTAAGTCTCCACTCATAATTAGGCCTCAGTTTAATAGTCACTGCCTTGGAGATACTTCCCTGACCACTCCTTGTTTCCTTATACCTAATTCTACCTAGTCAACATTAGTCCCTCTTATGTAACTTTCATTCCATTTTGTGATTTTGCTTCTTTTGGTATTTGTCTTAATTCTAATTAATTTGCATTTATTTATTAATATACGTTTTCACTAACTGTAAACTCCATAAGGTCAGGAGCCATGCTTATCTTATTGGCCACTATATCCCCAGAGCCTACCATGGTGCCTGGCATGCAGTAGGCACTCAAAATAAGCATTTATTGAATAAAAGAGCAAATTCGTAAATGGGTGACTTTTACCTATGTGTTGCTCCAAGGTCAAATCGAAGTTAATAATCCAGATTGCCTCTAAGAAAACTAGAGGCCAGGCATGGTGGCTGATGCCTGTAATCCCAGCACTGTGGGAGGCCGAGTGCAAGAAGATCGCTTAAAGTTAGGAGTTGGAGGCTAGCTTGTGCAATATAACAAGACCCTGTCTCTACAAAAAAATTAAAAATTATCATGGTGGGCGTGTACCTATAGTCCTAGCTACTCAGAGGCTGAGGCTGGAGGATTACTTGAGCCCAGGAATTAGAGGTTGCAGTAAGCTGTGATTGTACTGCTGCACTCCTGCCTGGGCAACAGAGTAAGACCCTGTCTCCTGTCTCTTAAAAAAAAAGAAAAAAGAAAAAAAAAAAGAAAACTACAGCCTCTCTGATGATACCTGTCTAAGCAAGAGATTCTGAGCATCCACGCTAACCACACTTCTGGATAATAGTTGTGGGCTCCCCATCATCAGCATCACTCACAGCAAACAATGAAGCACTTGGAAAGGAGCAATGATACTTTTACTACTGACACACTGGCAGATAGATACAAAATGAGACCAATGGACTGTGTCAGAGTCCCTTCCTGTAATCTCAGTATACCCAAAGTACAGTAATGACAGGTGATGACCTTTTTGAGCTTACCTCTTTGAGTGCCTGCCCTCTCTCTGTCATTGCATCTCTGACGAATCATTGGTTCAACTCAGTCTCTGCCTCTCTGAAGTTCACAGTCGGGTGGTCCATAACACCACGGTAGCTAGCACTCAACTAAAGGGAAAGGAAATTTTTAGACCTGTAATAATGATACTCAACTTTATTTCCTCTCCATTGCTTAGGGAGTGCATTGTTGGTTCATCCAGTCACAGAACCAAAAGCCACCATAGTTGATGTGTTTCTGCCAGGATCGAATGAGGTAAGACTAATAACAAACAGCCACATATCTGATATGTCTCGTATCTCTCATCCCTTCATTTCTCTTAGGAAAGAGATTTCTTCATCATGTGTTTGTCAACACACCCCAAATAACTGTAGCAAGTAACGATTATAATAAGTCATGACCACTGTCCTCAGAGGTCAAGCAACTTAATGAAGGAGAAGAGAGAGAAAAATGAATTGGTGAGGATTCCAAGGAGGATCAAAATGATTTTTTTTTTTTTTTTTTGAGTCGGAGTTTCGCTCTTGTTACCCAGGCTGGAGTGCAATGGCACAATCTCGGCTCACCGCAACCTCCGCCTCCTGGGT